CTAAGATATTTTCTGCAATTCTACACAAATGTCATTAGGAACTTTCTGTGTGTGTGTACCCAGCCCATGGCCACATTAGCGGTTACACCAGGAAAGCAAGATTGGCTCAGTAGCACTGTCTTTCTTCTAGACTTGGTTACTTAACCCCAGCATTCCTCACTGTCTTTCTTAATAGATGAAACCATGGCCCCAGTGATAGTATTCACCAGGTCTTGGTGCTGACCCAATCCCCACAAAGTGCCTGTAAGGAGGACACTGCTATGGTGCCAGTATGGCAGGTGGGATAATGAGGCAGAAGATCCCAATCTGCAGTTTCTCAGACCATGCTGCTCTGCTAACTGCAAAACCACTTTTCACATAAAGCAAATATACTAACACAGGATTGTGTTGGCAAGTTTGTTCTGGAGACTTTATGCATCATGCACCTGGAATTGCTGGGTGAAGAAGGCCACTATAAAAGCAGAGAAATGCTATATATGTTTGAAAAGAGAAATAAGACCAAGTATTTGTTAGAGTCCAAAACTTTTCTTTCTGGTATCTGTGACTTTTCATTACAGTGGGAACTATCAGTTTAATGTAGAGATTTAACAGCATTTGAGTGCCCAAAACCATATCAAAGTCAGTGTTGTTCAAAGTAAAAGAATGTCCCTATTATGAAAATTATGGATAAAATGTATGGAAAAAAGGATTCACAGGACATAATGTTGGTGATAAGTTCTGCAGATTTTAGTAGAATGCTGCAAATTGGGGGCATTTCAATAAATTGGAAAACAAACAAACAAAAAAAACCAAACAACTAGCTGGTAAGGAGCAATAAACCAAGTGAACCTCTCATATACACTGCTAGACCAACCTCAGAACAAGACCGATACATGCAATCGTGTAACAAACACTAGGCTAAAGCTTAGCTCACCTCTGCCTAAAAACAGGTGGTAAATTAAATTCACCTGTGCCCTGTATAAATGAATTTTACAGTAAGTGGTCTGGAACAGCCTTTTCTCAGGTGATCCCTAAACATGGGTTCCCAGCACTGGTTGAATGAAATAGCAAAATAAAGAATTCCCAATATATTTGGGAGTTTACCAGCTTTTAGAAGATACAGTTGCTTTTAGAGAACCAAAAGAAATCTTTCCTCAAACATGGCTCTTCTGCAAAGTGTAAAGAGGACAACCTCTATCAAGAGCACTTCTGCACTAAACAGTGTGGACTGGATCAGCTACAGCGGGAAAAAAACATTGGGAAGAAGCTCAAAGTAAACAATGATATAGTTGCCTATTGCAGTATGGTGCGATGTTTATGACTGTGAAGCAGATTTTGAAACTGGATTGTTTATTCAACATTACCTGAAAATTTCCTGAAACACTATCCTATTAGCTGATGAGTAACATATATATGGCTGCTGCACCTAGGGAAAAGCATTTAGAATACAAAAATTATGTTGACACAAAAAAATACCAAAGGGGGTTCTTACAAACGAGAAACACACAGTGTCTTAATGTCTGTCACAACCAGGGAAGGTTGGCATGTGTAAGCCGGACTTACATAACTGGGGACATCTGGGGGTATTTGGTCAAGCAAGAGTGCACAGCACAATTTTTTCTGGCTTCTTCAAAACACTGAAGAATTCAAGCTAGGACATCAGTGAAAGCTTTTCTCTCCTTTTCTTCTGAGAAAAGACATTTTTCTTCATCACAGTTCCGATGTTGTGAGGGATGACCTCACCATTCACTTGTCAAACAGCACTTGAAAATATCATTTCCTTTTAATCTTAGGCAGTTGTCTGTATAAAGTGCCTACTAATGCCGACTCCCAGGGTGTGGTAGTCTGTGTGAACTGATGCCAGTGAGGCACAAAGCAGTCTATTGTACAGGTTTTGCACTGCGACTGAAATGCCCAAGTTATTTGCCATTACAGGATTTTACAATATGCATGGCAAAGATACTGCAACTTATACAGGAATTTCAGGCACTTTTTCACTGACTTTTAGAACTTCTGCCTGCACAAACGCTGTTGAATCAAGCCTAAGCTTGATGTCACAATTTCAATTCCAGTTGCATGCAACTTTTGCATCAGGCTGAGAGATGTAGGCAAATACCTGTCTCCCATTTATCCTACAGCTATTCACAGCTCTCCAGCAGCATACGGAGTCCCTGGGAAAACTGACTCCAGAATTTTTGACAGGTCTCAAAGTTTCCACTTTATAGAAATAAAATCTCTCAAAAACATACATCTGAATTTTGCAATTTAACCCTACCACTGTTCCTCACATGCATGACCCTTTTTTTAAAAAAAAAAAAAAATACATATTCAGTGTTGGTCTCTACTCCTCCACCAACAAAACAAAGTCTGGAATTAACACAGTGCGTCCAATAAAAACATGGGTTCATCCTGTGTGAATCTCCCTCTCCTCTCTTTGCTAACCCCCTTATCTCTGTATATTATAGATATATATGATGGTATCTGTAAGAAGCATTTGGTCTGCAGGATTTCATATCCTTAAAGTGGAGACCATCAGCCCCACTTTAATCACATTTATATTGGATACAAAACCAAAATCAGAGCTTATCTTTGGTTTATTGTGAAGCAACACGCACTTAATATACAAGAAAATATTTTGTAAGCCCATTCAGTTAATACCAAGAACTAATTATTTCTATAAGTTTGCAGGATCAGACCCAGTTTAGTCTTTTATAATATCCTACAGGGTTTTTTTGTTATTATAAATACAATCCCTTTGACTACACTGCGCTAGTATATATGGTCATTAACATGAATATACACATTGATTAATTTATAGAATCATTAACCCATGCATAAACATATTTTCTTATGGATATTAATAAACTAAGAGTCAGAGGTATTTTAAGAACACGGCTTTTTAGTGGTGTACATGCAGTGACACAGGTGGACATAACAGTCAGCTGCTATGAATTGCCAGATTTTGATTGTCCAAACTGAAGTGGAACAATATCTTATTAAAAAAGTTTATATAACACTATAGTATATCTGTCTAACTTGGAATATACTGTTACATCATGCATAAGCTTGAAAAATGCATGCTTTACTGTTGAAAATGGACTTTCTAAAGTTTTTGCTCTAGACTGTTGGGGAAGAAATTGAAAAACAATACTTATAAGTGTTATTTATAATATCTGTGAAATGCAGCATATTTATTATTTTTATTTATCAATTTGATAACTTTCTCTTTAATTCCAAAGTGAAATGGCATATAGTAATGAAGTGATTGTCATTTAAAACCCCCTTGTTTTTTGAGGTGCTATTGTGTATATATATTTTTCCCTTTTAAAGTGTAATGCCTATAGTATTGCTATCTCAAAATTCAGATGAATTGTGACAAACATCTTCACAATGGGAAATGTCAACATGCTACATTCCTTTCTTTGGAAAAATAAAAGAAATGGTCACAGAAAACACATTTAAATTTAATTATAGGTCATTAAAGTGATATAATGTGCATGTCAGTCCTCTTTTCATCCACAGATTACTTTAATCCTTGATGTGCCTTTTTTTTCCTCTGGCTTTCTTTCATATTTGCTTTGTTTTGAAATTGCATGCTGTCTGGATTATTTGTGCATGACCTCCACATTAATTTCACATTGAATGTTTACATACTCTGAGAGATTTTCATAGATCATTTATTCTACATGTGCATTTTTTCCTTTGTTTTCAGTTACTGAACTTTAAATATGCTTGAAATGTAAAAGTGGCATGAAACTTTTGTGACTTGTGACACAAGTAGGCGACTAATAGAGATTTTAGTACCTAACCACATTTTTTAGCAATACTTATTCCAAATCACATTTTATGCTGTACTTCTAAAATCTAAGAAAATTAATTATGTTCTGAATCTCTAAATCTATTCCATTTCGGAATTGGAGACCAGTAATGGTTATATTTCATTTGAGCAATAACAAACACATGAAATTGGTCCTTAAAATGAGTTAAGAAGTTCTCTCTCTGCTCTCTTGGAGGTGATCACTCCCAAAGTCATATGTCTGGGCTTAGCGTATGTTCAGTGTAGGAAACAGTACAGGACATTGATGGACAACACAGATCACTTCAGATAAGCACTATCTGCAGCTCAGTGTATATGCCCTCTGGAAATGCCAGCTTCTCTCAATAGGCTGTATAGTGACCCAAATTCCTCTTAGTATCTGAAACAGATGTCCCAAGTAGGCATATTCTGCTTCTACACAGTACAGGGCTATGAACCCTTGCGACTATCTATAAAGTCAGAGGTTTTATCGTGTAAAAAAAACAATTTCTTTCACGTTAGTTCCCCATTTGAAGAATTAAAGCAATATATGTTGCTCCAAATGCAATGAAATAATGCTTATCAGGAGATTTAAATTTCTAAATCACATAAAACTAAAAGCATATCCAGAGGAACCTAATGAGTAAATACACATGGAAAAAAATAAAGTAAGGTATTTTTTTCTTAAATTATGCCCAAAAAAGCATTCAAACACACTTAGGAAGTTTTTGATTAAGCAGCCAAATAAAATACTGTGAAATCAGTAACAGTCACCAGCAAAAAATATTTGTTTTCAATTGGTACAGGGCTGAATTCACATACCTACTACAAGCAAATCGAAGGCTTCCACTTCCCGCTTTACAGCCTACTCTTTTTGAGCCAGTTAATTAATTCTGCTGTGATTAAAGATGAGTGGCTTGATCTCAAAGCATGCTGAACCATCTGTAGCCCTTTATCTGAACAAGCCAATCACGATCATTTCCAAATAAGGAGCTGAAGGCTGTGATTTGAGACCTCTGTAATCACATCAATTGGGTCTCCAGGTGCTTTGCCTTCAACCTGCAGACCTCACCACAAGCACTTGTGATTCTTTGCGACCTCTTGGTTTGGACTGATTTGAGTCACTACAGTTCTCTCCACTTTTACAAACTAGTTGTTTTGTCAGCATGAGTGTGACAACAATTAGACGTCCCTGTTTTTGCCCCATGCCTTTTCTCCTTCACAGTCATTCAATGACAAGCGTAAAAAGAACTTCATCTTTTCACGAAAATTCCCATTCTACAAGAGCAAGGAGCAGAGTGAGCAGGAAACGAGTGATCCAGAACGTAAGTAACCTCTTGGAGATGATGTCACATGCAGCAGCACAAAAAATGGGTGACACGCATGATACCAGTATCCCACACATCTAGGCAAATATCCGTGGCAGGCAGGCAGGAGAGGTATTACTACTGTGACCAATGTGTGACTGCAGTTTGGATCCAGCTGGTCCTTCCTTCCCTGGAAACATCATTTTCAGAAGAATAAAACAGTGACCTAAACTTTTGGAAGAGCAGATATAGCTCCTCAAAGGAGTTGTGGCACCTGTCCTAAACCAAAACTTGTCTCTGATGAAATATTCCCAGATCAGTACTGGCTCAAAATAATGCAGATGTGATTTATTTCACAATACTAAATTATTAATCTGTAAAAGGTCTGCTCTAATCTCTTTTTTGCCTTTGACATTCTCCAAGCTGTGTGCCATGAGCAGCTTCACTCAAAGTTTTAAATGAAGCAACTGTGCTGACAGCTTAAAGAAGTAAATCAGATCTTGGAATCTGTACCTCCCTGGGCAATTACTGCTTGCATAAATTGTATAGAGAACCAGCATTATTAAAAATATAGGCTGGTTCCAAGACCAAATAATCGCTGTTTTTTCTTAATAGTTCTTAAATTTTTAGCTGGTTGCTACTTCTTCCTCACAGCTCCAAAAGCCATGTATCACGGTCACTGCCTCTTTCATTGGCTGCATTCCCATAGAATATGGGTTTAAAGTTGTTTCAGAAAGAAAAAGCAGGGATCCAGATTGCTCAATCAACATGGTCAGTCATGGTAGTATCCATTTCAACTCCACTGACTTCTTCCTTCCTCTTCTGCGGCTGTTCTTCCTTTCTCATTGCTCTCTCTGGGGACTTCCGTGCAGGACATCCCCGGATTAGGTGACGACGGTTATGGAACAAAGACTCTGAGTAAGTTCCCAGGAATGGTCACTGTAAATCTTTTTTTGTTTTGTTTTGTTTTGGCTTCTGTTCCTTCTCCAAGGACCCTCCACTCCTAGCATGCACAAGATAAGCGTTTTATTTGTTACCCAGCTGTGAATGCATTAAAAATGTTTCGATCATTTTGTTCTGCATGACAATATTAAATAACATACAGTGTATCAAGCAGACACTTTCACTTCTTTTGTAATAACACCTTTTGTTTCTGACAGTATGTTATTGTTCCCATCATGGCAGTTCTGTAGAGTAGCATACCTAGAACTCGTTTCGCTGCCTAGACTGTTCAGCAACAACCTTTCCCTCTCCATCTCAAGGGAAAGTTAAACATTTCAACTTGACCACAGCCTGAGGAGATCAATAGAAAATTATTTTATGCTATTGCTTCTGCATTTTCAGCTTTTTGCATGGGAGTGTCTGTTACATTGCTGGATTTTAAATTACTATTCGTTATTAATGGAAGAAGTCATTTACAAGCTAGAGAAGACCATGCCTTTTCCAAAGCTAGTTTTGGACCCATTTCACTATTAGCAACCTATTCTCTGTCATGCAACCTTAATCAATGTCTTTTTCTGATGCAGCAATCCTGTGTCAAGACTTGGCATTGCAGAATGTGTAATGTGTCAGATAATTGCTCAGAAACAATTTTGCTTCCTCAAAACTTAGACCAGACAAATTGTATAGAGTGAAATATTTGCAGCTGTTTTCTATCTAAATATCTACATTATATTCTGTATACAGGGCTAATTAATTTAAACAAAATGTCACTTGCATGTGTTTGGCTGCTTCTTCCTCAGTCCTTATTCTTTTTCTTAAGGCACCAAATACTTAGAGCAAAATATGTGTGAATGTTAACGCTGCATCGCCTACTATTAATTGTATAGAGTGAAATATTTGCAGCTGTTTTCTATCTAAATATCTACATTATATTCTGTATACAGGGCTAATTAATTTAAACAAAATGTCACTTGCATGTGTTTGGCTGCTTCTTCCTCAGTCCTTATTCTTTTTCTTAAGGCACCAAATACTTAGAGCAAAATATGTGTGAATGTTAACGCTGCATCGCCTACTATTTTGTATGTGTTGCACACCCATGCGCACAATTTCAGAGATTATTCTATTTCTGACTGATTTGTTGAAGGGACATTTTAGTGGTTTAGTTTTAAGCCATACAGTAACTTGCAATTTAAAGATGAAAGCTTCATCTCTTGTACAAAGAAAAGTTCTGCAAGACTAGCTTTGTCAGTGACAGACAGCAAATGCCGCTGCCACGTGATGAATTTTAACCATTCTGCTACTTTAAGTGAAGTGTTATAGCAGCTCATTAGCAACAAATGCAGATCCTTCCCTGCCTAAAGAGACATAGAAAACTTCTGATCTGATAACCCTCCAGAATACCTGTGTTCTTACACAGACAAATCTCCATACCATCCAACCACTTGAAAGGAGATAACTGAATTCTGCAAATTGCTAAGTGAAAAGTAGCACAGAGGTATTATATAGGCTCTAGTTTCTCTGTTAATATTGCACCTAGCTTTCAGTTACTGACACACCTCTAGACATTACTTCTCATCCAAATTTCACTAATATTCAACTCAGATATGCTTTTTAATGAACATTCTTACTATGAAAGATATTTGTTCTTGGTTAAGCAAGTTCTGCAGGGTCTTTTATAGCATATTAATTTGAGACAGCCCTTGTTAACTTGCTATGAAACGTCTGAAAATCAATGTACTATTTCCTTCAAAATCTAAGATAAAATTTTTAAAGCTTCTTACTAAGCCCAAGATGAAAGTTCTCAATTACTATTTTTACCAGATATCATCCCCTCTCATTTCTGCTGCTCCAGTAACCCCATCAGTCTCGCTCTATTAACCCTAAGCTATTAGATTGGTACGTGGGCAAAAGAGGTGGTCTTGGCACTGTTCCCATAGTCATCCTTTATGACATCCATGCATAGTCCAGCCTGGGTTCATCCCAGGGATTTCTTGGCTTTTCTGACTTCCTTCTTTCACTGGGAACATTTAGAGGCAGCTGCAGGTGAGTGTTGTGGGTCAGCCACAGCCAAATCTGCCCACTGGTTCAATGACAAATATTGGACCACTTTTGGCTCCTGGCATTTGTCAGGAAGTGAATTTTTACCCATTGTCCATTAAATTACACTGCCTTTCTCATTAACCCAAGGTGGCTCCCCACTGTAAAGTCATTATGCCATTGGTTTCTTATTGTCCTGGACCAGACGAAAAGTTTCAACTATCAAATGATCTTTCAGATGCAAAGTAATCATCTTTTCTGCCAGAGATATTATTAAAACCACCATTTAAAGTGGTTCTGGAGACCTCCTGGAAACCATATAGCATGGTTTCAGTCTGCTGGCTGCAGTTTGGGAACAGCAACTTCACAAGATACAGATTGCACCTTCCTTTAAATCATATGATAATAGAGACAGGACACCAGACTTTCCAAGCCAGAAGTCTGACCCATCATGATCGTTCGTATATCCCTATTCACCCACCAGACTAGCCTGGTAAAGGTTTTCAGACTGTAGCTCAAATCCTGAGGGTAGACAATGTCTCAAAAAAGAAAAAAATTCTTCCTTTGTCATTGGACAGCGTAAAATAGAGACAGTTACAATATTTGATATCAAAACCATCTTTGTGTTAATATGTTAACCCTTTGGGATAGTCTGCACTGATTAAATTTGGACAGAGGTTAGAAGTTTAGCAGGCATAGTTCAACACATTAATGATGAACGTTACTGATAGTGCAGAATAATATGAGCAGACACTCAGATTTCATGTGATTACTCAAGACACCCAGTGAGATGTAAGTGGACCATAATATGCTCTGAAATTAAGTTATCTGAGGTGTCATTAACTGCCTTTTCAAGAAAAGGCATGACTTTGCCATGACACGTGTCACTAGCTAATACGTCTCTTTCTGAAATGCCACAAGAGAGAAAGCTTTCATTTTACCTGTGTAAATTACCTCAAAGTTTTCAGGTGATGTCACTGCATAGTTTTTATTTCTTCTCTGCACAACTACCTTTGCATGACTCCAGCAGTTCTTTTAAGTTTCTGCAGCTCTGTGGTGCTTGGTTATGTTCTTTAATTTGCTGTACTGTTCTTGCAGAACATGTTTCTTCTAATGCCAGCGATAGTGAAAGTAGCTACAGTAAGTTACTGCTTTCATTAGAGTCCTTTTACTTTGCATTGCTTGTTCTGTTTGTTTCTTTTATTTTGTTTCTATCCCTGCTACTCTTTTGTTAATGTTAAAAAGGCGGTTGGAGCAAATGGCTTGGAATTCAAATTTACAACCACATCTTGAGTACAAAGCTATAAAAGAAAACAGACAACCTTTATAAGAGAAGGGAGGAAGGTTGTTATTTGGGATGTGTTCTGGGACATAAAACCAAACCTGGCATTGTGTAGTCTGTGAAAGTCAGGATTATTTGATTTAGAGACAAGAAGTTTATTTGATTTAGAGACAAGAAGTTTATTTAGCAGAGACGGGGCAGTTCGTTGATGAATTTTTAAGAGTAAAATTATTCCATAGCTGTAGTTAAATCTGCAAAAGGCATCCTCTTTACAAGGCCACTATTTCTACTTGCATTTCTCCATACCTGTATGAAGGGCTAAGAAATCATCCCCAAAATTTTGTTGAGCCCTAATTTTGGCAGTCATGATTGCATACTGAAGTCTTCCAAAAAAGGTAAGATAGATCTTTACCCCTTAAGCATTGCCTCTATGTCACTGATTCCCTATAAGTTGAGGTCCCACCCTGCAAGCTGGTTTGGTTGGAATTACATTCTCCATGCGGTCATATAGCCAAGAGGCTGATTGTAAATTCTGGGCAGTTATTAGTAATAACCAAAAATTTAAACAATATAACAATTTTTCTGGAAGTGTTGAAAAGCAAAAAAAAATAAGGCATTAAATAAATGACTGGAAATGTAATAAAAGGTAATTAAAATGACAGATTGCATACTAAATAACCCAGTTGTTTAATTTTTTCAAGCCATTTGCTTAGCAAATCAGGTTTTCCACCAGTCACTCAGCACTTGTGCTAAGCACCCACATACATTCAGGTAATCATTGGTATCATACCTCATATTTACTAGTCTTGATACAGTGCATAGCAGTTGAGCTCTGTTAATAAAAATGCGTTTGTTTCAGTAAAACAGCTAATCTTATGCAATTCAGAAATGGTAAATTAGTTTGTATTCTCTTGTATTGCAAAGGTTTCCTTGGAAAGCAATTGCCAGAGTCAGAAGAAAACAGTAGGCTCTCTTGAACCGCTGAGATCAAATTCTGAAATGCTTTATTTTTAATGTCTCCTCTAGTGATAAGGAGAGGAGGATTTTATGCTTGAAATTTAAGATGGTCTTTCCCCAGAGTGACTTTACAATCAGGAATGAGTCAATAGGTTAAATTTTCAAAAGTTTGCATGAGTCAGATCTCCTCCAGATGTGTTTATTTCAGGGTGAGCTCAGGATAAAACCCCAGAGAAAAATCTAGCCTGGTGGCTGAGCTCATCCCATGTCTGCTTTAGTGTCCCAAACAGGAGGCTTAGTAGGGGTGCAAGGTTGCAGACAAATATCTGAAGCAGGTCCACAAAAGCTAGTTCCTGAACTCATCATAAGACAGGTCAGGTAGCCAGTTCCTCGTTGGCTGTGCAGTAGTGTGAAACAAAGTGTATGTTTTGAGGTGCAAGAAGGGGGATATAAATGGTTTGGGGTAGTTAGCTGGGGCACAGATCCTTGGAATGAAAAGGAGTGTTTGGATAACAACTGTCCATGGCAGGTTCTCTCCTTCAGGGTGGTTTCTATCTGGGCAAGCTTTAGGCTCCTCCCAGCAGCATCCAGCCTACATCCTGTTGGCTGGCAGTCCCTACACACTACTGGTGTGTCCAACAACTACTGCCTGGTGCAGAAGATGCAGGCAGGGCTTCCTTCTCTGTCTGTGGGAGAGCTGTGTTATTTAGCAGCAGAGAAAACCACTTAGGTTATGTCAAATGAAAGTGGCTTTAAAGTGCAGGAGCTGGTGCCCAAAGGGCCTAATTCCATTTCCTAACAATTCATTGGTGTGTGCCAACATGATATTTGAAGGCATGATCTTGGGCAACCAGCAACTTTGGTGAAAAGCTTTTGGAAATTAACTGTTTCAGATGGCCATAGTGGCATATCAACTTTAGTCTGACTGTGTGTGCGATTACTACATGGCCGTGTATATCAGCGTATCTCCTGTGGGGACTTACGGCCCTCACGAACCCACACGTTTACTCTCTGATCTCCAGGCTACCCTATGGCAACAGCACATCCCATCATACGGCTCTTTGCAGCCCATCTCCCCCCAAAAATTTATGACTCGGGAACAGAGAAGAATCAGACAGAGGAGAGTGAGAGGTGGGTAGTCAGAGAGAGCAGTCAACAACGTGTGAGGGCATGGAGATAAGAGAGATGAGGCCTGTCATGAAGAAGTTGTCTTATTTCACTGCAGTGCCAACTTTGTGGGACTGTTGAGAGAGGATGCTGCACAGTAGAAGCCAATCAGTATCCTTTGTGTGGGAAATTATCAGACCTAGGCTGGGAACATTTACTAAAGACATAATCCTCACTGCCTTCTAATTTATTTATTCCTAATGAAAGGAAAAAAATAATAGATGCTTGGGGTAAAGCTCATTCCTGGTAGAATGAGAGAGCATGCAGTTATTACTTCTGCTCTTCTTGTTTGCATCTTGGGAGCTGGGAACGGCCCAACATCAGTCACTGCCACAGAACCAAGTTTGGTTTAACTCCATTTGGAGCCAGCCTTGTTGTAAAACTGTTCTTCGTAAAACTGTAGTGCCATTTTGGGGAGAATTTGTGTGTTCAAAGTGAGGCATGACGTTATTTTACCAGGACAACATGCGTATTTACTTTCAAACTCACCTAGCCCTCAGTCTGTGCACTGGTGAGATGGAGGATGCTGAGGAGAAAAAAAATGTGAAGCTGAAAAATTCATGGGGAGCAAACAGAAAAGTGCTGGGAGAGCTCGAGAGTTTTGTATGGGGTTGTGACCCTGTCCCAGTGTCCCTTTTCTTTTCTGTTTCCCAAGCGAATGAACAGGAAGAAAAAGAGGCTGCCTGCCCCACTGCTTTCTGAATTGTGGGAAATGGGCGATTCACACCTTGGCCAGTACAAAGAAATTGTGTGGGTAGGAAATGACTGGCAAGTGCCATGTGTTCTCCTGCAGACAGTCATATTTGTCCCTGTAAAAACTGGCCAGTTGGAGTCCAGAATTAAGTGTTCTGCATTTTTCCTAGAGGGTCTCTGGCAATTGCTTTAACATGTTCCTCTAACTTTTGCTTCACACAATGAACATTTAGTGAAAAGTAGCTAGTGTTGAAACCTGTACTACTTGATCATCCCTAGAACCATTCCAAATCAGGGGTACAACCACACAAAGTGGTGATGAAGGCTGCTGAGAGCTGTTCAGGGGTTATGAATTGATGTTCTTTTTTCCAGGAGATATTGTGAAGTGTTTCATATTTCTTTAGAAAAATATATTACTTAAAAATGTGAGTATTTGGCTGAAGTATTCCACTGCTCATGTCTTGGGCTTGGTGGTTTAAAAAATCAGCTTTTCTGTAGAACTCAGATACTTTGTATTTCAAAATAATAACATATTGAAAGTCCTCTAATATGTTCTCAAGAGAAAATTCTTGGACGACTCCTTAGCAGCAAGGCTGTTGCAGGTAGTCAATGTGATTTCTTCTGCCAGTGCTCCCAACACCGGGTTTGTAGTGAGCAAAAGAGCTGGGGTGGGATTTTCTTTATCCTAACTGATAACCTTCAGCTCCATTAATTTAAGAGAGAACCACAAACACATTTGACCACAGAATCTAGCCCTTTATAAGTAATTTTGATTTATTTTTGAGCCAGGAACAAATACTGGCCTGACCTAAAAGGGGCTGAGCTGCCACACAGCTGCTACTGCATCACACTGGGCCATGCTAATATGAAGGCTATAGCTATGTTAGTTGATTTGCACCTATCCCCAGCAGTAAAACCAAGTTTTCAAGAGTGGTATATAAAGTCCTGGTCTAGAAGAAAGTTGTTTTTGCTGTGATAAGGATACATACACCCAACTTTGAGTTATCCCTGAACCAGCTAATCAAACCATGACTGAAAGTTTATTTTGAGCTCTGTAACTTAAAATGTTCTGATTTCTTTTTCAAACCAAGTTTGTAAGAACATTTTTTTTACCATGGAGTCATCAGTTTTTATTTTGTGAGGCATGATTTTCATAATGGCCATGAATTTTAAGTCTCTCTACTGCATATGTGTGGTAATGTTCTTAAACATAGTTCAGTAAAGGTTTTTACAGCTGTCATCAAAATTACACACACATTACAACATCTATTTAGCCTAATTGCATAACTGGTTGTGATTGCACCAATTACCTAGAGAAGCAATACATGAATAAAAGTTTAAAATACAGAAAATTTTAAAACCAAAAATTTTTACCCTCTGTCAGCAAGTCACTCTTGTAATGAGATGTGAAGACTCAGAACAACGCTAAAGGAGTCCTGATTATTATGTAAGGCCACTGATTAATTAGGACACTTACACTGACTCTTACACTCCTCAAGGATTACTACAGGCACACTCAAATTGCCACAAGTATTAAAGTCTCATTTCATGCCCTCACAAGCTATATTAATCTTAAATATCCGGTGCTGATAGACCACTTTTTCTCATAAGTTCATTCTCATCATGCTGATGATCTTTTTAGGTATTGGATTTCCAGACATTTGTAGCTCTCAACATATTTCCAAAAGTCATGTGTTTGTTTACTAAGATAAATAGAGGTCCAGGAAAGGGATTTTGAGCCAAATAGAGGTTAGGATATTGACTGTCCAGTGCAGTCTGTGCAGATGCAGCAAAACAATAAATTGATTTCTCCAAGTTCTTGCAAGTCCAACTGAGGTAATCCATACATTAGCCCAAAACCAAAATGGATGATGATGGAAAATTATCTTTGATTTTAGATCCAGCTGAGCAACAAAATTCAGGGAAGGGCTCAAAATTAAAATCAATTTGGCTCATCTACATGTATTTCACACGTGTATTGATGATAACCACTACCATTAGTCCAGCAATTTTAATGAACCAAAGCATTCTCTTTGATTTTCTAAAATCATCAATAATTTTTAGCTGTCTTCATAAGTACTACTTTTTTGTTATTCAATGTCTTAGGTCACTTTACAGATTTTTGCACTCACAGCCATTAATAGGATGCCAAAATCCATAGATTCTCACAGCACAAGGTGCTTGATGACAGTCAGCATTTGGGTATACGGTAACTGCACCATGGGAGCTCGCAGCAGATCTCCTGCCCCATTATTCACATGGTGGGTGCAGTTATACCAGCACTGTGGAAGCTCTGGATGTTCTGGCATGACAGTAGGAAATGAGGCCTTTTTATGGGTTACATGAAAAAAGACTGTTATCTGCCAGGTCTACACTGAAACTGTGATTTTGAGTCTTTCACAGACTCTCTGCCATATAACTGGAAATGGAAAGGGAAAACAGGTAACGCCTTAAATGCATTTTAAATCTACTCCTCTTATATACCATAAAATCATTTAAAAAGATGAAATTAGTAGTCCTTATAAAAAATCATCTGACCACACAAATCCTCTTTGGCCAGTTTTTAGAGGCTACGAGTTATAACAAACTCTAGGCTATTCTTCTCTTCCTGAGCATGAGACCTCACCAACAGGCAAACCAAGAACAAAGGGAAGCAGAGCCATACCAACCCTGGGAAAGAGAAAGCCCTCCAGTAATTTTACTCATAAGAATTATATTTACAAAAAGTCCTTTTGACTTTTTTCTCTTTCCTTAACTTTTTTCCTTTCTTCTCTGTTTGACTTTGTGGAATTTTACTGAAGAACAAGGAATAATGCCAAAATCGTACAGAAAAGGCTTTTTCTTTTTTTCTCTTTTTTTCTTTTTTCTGTGTGTTAAATTTCACAAAGATTTTTCCAGATCAATATAGCTAACCTGTACTAATTAAGCCGTTCATGTAGGTGGTAAATGAGGCTTAGTCAAGCAGCAAATAAGTCCCATGTCCCACTGAATTTCACACTGTCTCTCACACCTCGAAGCCATCACGAGGTTATAGCAATCCAATTATTGATTGACTCTAGAGCTCTTCATTATACTTAATACTTTATGGACTACCTCAAAACCGTGCAGTACTGACTGAGTAGAGATCATTAAAGAATACCATCTGGTACAGTTAACATGCACATTAGCCTCTGAAGACTTACATTATTCTGTCTGGACAGTACTTGGAAGAATGTTATTCACATAGAAAATTGAGATTCCTGAGCCCTTCTTCCGGAAAAGAAAAGTAGTGGAAACGGTGCAGCTTTTCCCCATGCTCACATTCCATGTTGAGTCTGAAATGCAGTGCTGAAGAGCCTTCGCTCAGAAGGTACCTGTCTTTAGGTCCCTTTGTGTCACAGTCAGCCTCAACGTTTCTCCTTACTTGCTGCAAACTTTTCCACAGCTTAAGCTTCAGCACAATTCGAGTGGGCTGGAGATTTTTCTGTGCCTTCAGTCTGGCCACAGTTTCAGAAGGCTTCAAACAATGGGGTTGTTTGCCTCCATAGCCCGTATCCTACTGAGAGCATGGACATAACAACAGCTTGAGCGTGTGGACCCATTCAACAGAGACTGGGCAACACAGGAGGTAAAATCTGTGCTGGCTTATTTGTGCTGGTTATAATTCTATGCCAAAGCCAAATATTAGCCCACAAAAAAATTTCTAATCAATAGTGGCAGAGTTACTGGCTATTTTCCGTCAGTTGCTCTTGTTACTGTCACTCCCATGGGATTTTACTGTTTAAATGCAGATGTCTGCCACTGACCGTGCTGTTTAAATGCTGTTATGGGACAATGGAGACAAATGTGCCCTTCTGACTTTTTCTCTTTTCCCAAAGCAGACATCTAAAATAGGTCAGATGACTCACATCTTAGAATAAGCACTTGCCTATTTGTAGGCACCCACTGACTTTAAAGAGTACCTAGGGACTGGCTCACGCATAAGCATTTATGGTACAGGTTTTGGAAATTAGCTGAAATGAATTTCCATCTGTGGCACTCTATGCCTCTGAAACAAGTACTTTCAAGTTCAAGATTGTATTCATATAAATAGGCTCCACTCCACATGCTTAGTACATGGTGGCTTCATCGTCCACTCATGATTGACTTTCTCAGGCTGTTGAAAAACATAGCCTTGGCTCCTGGGGGATGGAGGGCAGGCAGTGCAGAAGCATCCTCATCCAGCCCAGAGACTGAGTTGTTTCATCACAAGGGAATGGGACACCTTTAGTTTTATATCACTCCTAAAATTTCCAGAGAAACTTAAGGGAAAATAATACTTCTGATGCATGAAACCTAGTAATTCTAGGATTTTAACTTTGCAAAAAGCCAAAGTTAAGCAAGTGATTACAATATCAAACATTTGCAAATAGAGAAGAAAATCCATTATCCACACTCCTCATATGTTATGTTGCCTTGTCCTCAAAAGCTGTCTAATCTCTTCCTTTTATTACAAATGACGTTTTCTCCTTTGCTGCTTCAGCACCACTGCTAGTTTGGTGTTGGTCCTGTCTATTCTCTCTCCATCCTAAGACATCAGTACATTTTTTTATTTGCTTTTTCTGTCATTGTCCTTAATTACAACATTATTTTTACTTGACAAGCTGTTTTACACGTCTCACAGCTGTCTAGATAATATATCACAAAAAATATCTAATAATATCTTAAATTCATGTGGTGGGAGTCAGCTTAAAACTAGATCACAAGAACTTCTGTATTTACTTGGGAGCCAGGCACCAATACAAATCTTGTTAATGTAGTTAATGGAGCCTCAAGAGTGACTCAGATCGCAGTCTGACTACTTCAGGGTGAGGCGCAGCCGCCTCTAAATCCTACCTGTGTTGTCCATCAGATGACAGACAGCACTCTTCCCTCGTATGTGCCACTTCGGTTTGGCAGGAGCCCACCAGAATGTTGTAACACAGGCTCATGGGTGTCCAAGCAGATGAAACGAAGGCAACCCTCTCTAATTTATAAAGCTTTCCTATGCCTTATGCCACTTCTTCTTCTGGAGTATCCAAATGAGTTGCAAAATCCCATCTGTGGGTCTTCTCAGAGATAAGCCCTGAACTGAGTAAAAATACAATGATAATTTTAAACTTTGCTAAGCCTAAGTCATTTTTAGAATCTGCCAGAGCCTTTATGTGGTAGCACGTATGGGACAGTGACCCAGAAAGATAAATGTACAGGAATTATTCATGAGTAGGTCGAAGAATCCTCCTGCCTCTGCTTTTGCACTCTCACAGAGGAGAGGGCAGTGATGCACTGGGGCTGTAAACCTGCACCCAAGTCATGGTATGGTCCCTATAGCGTCACCTGTTGCTCATGGCAAATTTCTCTGCTTTACTTCCCTAAATGTCACCATGAGGAAACAGCACCAGCCTAACCAGAGTGGAGGGAGGATACGTGCACAAAATACGATGCTGCGAGATTTGTGTTCAGGGAAAGGATAAGGGTCAGCAAATAGCTTGTGGCTAGATGCCAGGCTATGAATAAACAGACTATGGAGGTTATGCACGGAAGAACGATCAACCAAAATGTCTATGTTCTGAAAATAAAAATTGTTCAGTGTAGATAGCCTGTGGATTTTCCCTGCAGCAGCACGTTGGGGCCTTAACAATCGGACAAGCAAAAGAATCGCATCTTAAAGTTCTGCACTATCCTTGTAAACAGCCTTGCTGACAAATCAGTAGATGAGGCCTTATTGCCCATCACTGAAAAAGCCCGATTTCAGCAAAGAAAATGGAAACACGTGGCAGGGGCGGGAGGGGAAGGACAGAAGTTTTGTCCGCATCTTGAAGTTATGAGGGATTTTGGAATGGTTCAGGTGAGAGCATTACCAGAGAGAATTATTGAACCTGGTCTGTCTCTATGTGAAGCATTTTATCAAGAGTTAGTACTTGACATGTTGTCTGTCAGCTTCAATCTCTTCTCTTTCTTCTCTCATCAGGAGGCCAGGAAGACTGCATCCTTTCTTATGAACCTGTCACCAGACAGGAAAGTAAGTTTCATCTGCTTTCTGTCACTGCTCCTTACATTTTTCATCTCACATTTTGGGGGCTAGCAGAGCAGTAAGCCTTGGTGTGCCAGCCCAGATTCTCTGGGGCTCCTTTTTCTTGGCCACGTGGGCTATAACATACAGAATAAATGATGTAAGGGTCTCACTCGCTAGCCCTCACTTCCTAACATTCTCAGGGCTCTCTCCAGGAAGCTCTCATGGCCTTTACTAATAAATATGTTAATCAGTCCACCAAGTATTAATTCAGATTTTCTAGGTTTACTGCAGTATTGTTATGGGAAGCCTTTACTATTTTCCTTTTCATGTGTTATCGTAGAATCATAGAATGGTTTGGGTTGGAAGGGACCTTAAAGATCATCTAGTTCCAACCCCCCTGGCATGGGCAGGGACACCTTCCACTAGACCAGGTTGCTCAAAGCCACATCCAGCCTGGCCTTGAAGACATCCAGGGATGGGGCATCCACAATATCTCTGGGCAACCTGTTCCAGTGCCTCACCACCCTTTCTGTGACGAATTTCTTCCTGATGTCTAATCTAAACCTCCCTGATTTCAATTTGTACCCATTACCCCTTGTCCTATCACTATGTTATGTGCCTATAACCACAGTAGATAAACCTACAGGGAGGCAACTGAAAATAGGAGCTCACCCAGCTGATATAATGGCGATACACTCCTGTAACTGAGGAGAAAAAATCCTACAACCACCTTTCCATGCCTCATGAGAGATTCCTGATGCACACATTCAGGAGTGACCTTGTTGAGCAATAGCAAATATATGTACTTCCACATATTAATTTAACTGCATGCACATGCACCACCACAGAGCTCTGAGCTCTGCAAAAGGAGTGGTACTCATTCCATTTTCCTTATCCATGTCAATAAGTAAATTATTTATCAGTAAAATGTACACCTAAGTTTTCACTTCATACATAAAAGCAACAACTCTGGTTAGTGCATCTTTGGGAAGATTTGCTGTTATTACCAGATAGATCATCAAAATGTGCCTTTCTTTTTATTGTTCAGTTAATTACACCAGGCCGGTTATTATTCTGGGTCCCATGAAAGATCGGATCAATGATGATTTGATATCTGAATTCCCTGATAAATTCGGGTCGTGCGTACCACGTAAGTATGATTCCACTCCCTGTTCTGCAGCTTAGTGGTATCCCTTGGTGCCACACATTAAGTAAATTGCTGTGAAAGCAGCATCCTTGAATTATATGTAGCTGAGTTTCTCAAAAGCCATTTTTTTCTTGGACAAAACAGCGTAAAAGAACAAACAACCAGTGTGAAGGTCTGGAAATAACTTCTCACAAGAAGTGTTTCAAAAGCTGTGGTATTTTTTTAAGCAAGGACCCTTCTAGCCACTAAGTTTCCTAATCAATTATTCTGTGGTTTCTTAAATAAGATAAAAGTTTGAAATATTGGTAAAATGTAAAATGTTTTAAGTCAATTACACAGCATCAACTAATAAAAATGTGGACTAATCTGTGATTTGTGGGAGATCTCAGCTGACTAATCTGAAAGCAATATTGGACCTTGAATTAAGAATAGTGTTTATACCTTGGATCATTAGAGCTCGCTGAGTGTTTATTTGAGGCCTTAATTGCAGTCTTACTTCATTTTAAACTGTTCCCTCTGCAAATACACCAGCTGAAAACTGCTGGACATGAGATCGGAATCAGTCATATAATTAAGGCTAAATTGTATTGATGAGACTGTGATTTATTTTATCACTGTAATAGGATTAGGTTTGCAATCTGGAAAATATTTTTTATTTGAGGTTTGTATGTGATCCTGCTGGAAAAAAAAAAAAAGTGGAATTCTGGTAAATTCTAATTTTATTAGCCTGTAATTATTAATTGGAGGTAAACATTAGAAGGTGTTTCTATAAAAAGACAGCTTTATTGTTGTAAATCCATTGAAAACAATATGTAGTTACAAAAGATCTGCTCCCAGATGAGGAGCACGTCCACTTACAGCAGACCCAGGATTGCCCACTGAACGAACTTGAATTGCCTCCTTTTTTGCATGAAAATTTTCTACAGACTTCTTCATCTTCTGTCTTTTGTTTGATGCAGATACCACAAGGCCAAAGCGTGACTATGAAGTGGATGGGAGAGATTATCACTTTGTCATTTCAAGAGAACAAATGGAAAAAGATATCCAAGAGCACAAATTTATAGAAGCTGGGCAGTACAATGATAATTTATACGGAACTAGTGTCCAGTCTGTGAGATTCGTGGCGGAAAGGGTAAGTTCATATTAGTTTTTTTGTCCATGCAACATGATCAGTTTTGTTTCCACATTGCATCTCAGACATGATTCTTCTGCCAAAACTATAAAATGTCTGCAAAATGGCATCTTAATATTTATAGGCTTTATAATGACTCCACAAGTGGAGTCTCTGTCTTTGAATAACAACATTCTTGGCACTTTCTGTACCTGGATGGAGTGCCATGGTTTCAGGGATGTAACACAGCGCCTCAAGCACACCCCAAAAGAGCCTTCCCTCTGTAAAACAGGTAAATAAACTTATCTCACTTTTACAGAGGCAAAAGCATGAAGCACAGAGAGATTAAATGACTTGCCTCAGGTGACACAGGGAGTCTTTGACACAAACAAGAGCTGAATTAACCAGTACGAATAGACACATCCTATTATTTTCATGAACTGATTTTTCTCATCTCTGCAGAAAATCCTCTCCCCCCTGCAAAGTTCATCCCAGTAAAAATATAAACGTTTGATCCCCTATCTCCAGTGTATATTTTATATTAACACCAAAGCGAAGCAAAGAGCACAGAGGAGTGGAGCGCATGCCCTGGGGTCCCCCTTCCCTGGTGTGCCAGTAATGGCCCTGTTCCAGGGCACTGCATCATAGAATTGCTTCCCATCTTTTGGCTGATCTGTAGCAAATGCTGCAAAAATAAACACATCCTCATCTGTTTCCAACAGGGCAAGCACTGTATACTCGATGTGTCAGGAAATGCTATCAAACGACTACAAGTTGCACAACTCTATCCCATCGCTATCTTCATTAAGCCTAAATCATGGGAGCCTCTGATGTAAGTATGAACTTCTTGGAGTGTTTTATTTTCAGGGTACAGTTGTACAGTCTCACGTGGCACAACACAGGTCTTGAGGCCACAATTTACCCATCTTCTAAAATCATTAATAACAAGAGGAGGTGGGAACAGTGAGAACTTGCTCACCCTGCCTGCCACCTGCTGTCCCCTGACATCTCAAGCAACAAGCCAAAGCTTTCTTTGAACCTTTCACACTGGGACACATGGGCTTATGTGCTGGACCATGATGGACTCCCTACCAGTGCTTGGTGTGTTGTTCCAACCTGTGCAGCAAGTTCACCAAGAATTCATGCAGCATGGCTTGTCCCATCCAGCCTTGGGTGCTCTTGGGGTGTACAGTCTGGTCACAGGGAGTGAAGCAGAGGGTAAACTTATGTCACATTTGCCATGAGTGCCTCTTCATCAGCCTTTCATTTACTTAAAGGTCTGTAAGAGGTTAGACAAGGACCCACGGGACTGGGGAGAGGCAAACATGGCACCTAAAGAAGGAAAGAGAAGGCACTAACTTCATGCTGTCACCAGGCAACCTAATTTCAGTACTCAGAAAAACACTGGCATCCAGGGAACGTTAAGCAACTCAAGTATAATAACAGAGAAGATAAAATGTTGTAAGAAGCAGCCGATGTACGTGCATCAAGAGCAAATCAAATCAATCTTATTTCCTTCTTTCATGAGATGTCTATCAATAATTGTATTGCATCTTGATTTTTATTCTGGTTCCATGGGACGGAAGCTTAGGGACGCGTAGTCCAGAGGGACTCGCTGGAGAGCATGTGCACAGCCATACTCAGTCATTGGAAATGGCACTGCTAAGCTGGGAGGCTAACAGAAATCCTGCAAGTGTATTTCCTGAGCAGTGTCCCTGTGTGGGACTACTTGTTACTTCCCTGACTTACTTGAATGATGAATTGGGTATTACTTTTGTAAAGTTTGTGAATAACTCAAGGCTGAACGAGGTGACAAGCACTTTAGAGGATAAGATTAAAACTCAGTGTAAAATCAGTAAGATGAAATTCAGCACAGACAAAGGAGAGAATGAAATGCACGAGTACAAGCAGGGAATAATTAAGCTATAGCACTGCAGAAAAGCATCTGGCAGCCGGGATGTATCACACAAGAATATGAATGGATGGATAATGCAGTTGCCAAAAAGGAAACTGCCACTCCAGGCTGTATTAACATCAGTGTTGTGTAAGGACACAATAGACAGTTATTTTGTTTTCCTGGGTATGGATGGGGCCTGAGCTGGAGTGCTGGCCTGGTTCTGGGTACCACCCTGGCAGGGGAGGAGGAAGGGGGGGGTGACCTGGTGTCAAGGAGAGAAGGCTGAGGAGGAAACATGGAAGTGACCTTAACAGTGGTTAAAGCTCAGGATAAAATACATTGGGATCAATTGTTTTCCATGAACACTTATGGTAGTGCAAGAACTTATCAGCTTAATTTGCTGTGGTAGGGATGAAATTTTGAACTCTGTGCCTTCCCCTAACCAAAGACTCTGCAAACAGCAAGTGATGTCATAGGTGTCTGTTACAAAGCTGAAACATAGGCCTCCCCCCTCCTGTGACAGTCACATATCTGGTTATAGAATCACAGAATCACTAGGTT